AGTGGTGGACATATGCTATAGACCACTGGATCAGAAGATGAGGTAGATGAGGAGAGCAATACAGCAATGCACAGACCATCCAGGAAACTTTTGGAGAGTGTTGGGGACAACTTCCTGGTACAAGTGCTGGAGGAACCAACTAGGGGCCACGTTCCTCTTGACCTGCTGCTCAGAAACAGGGAAGAATTGGTAGGGGAAGCAGAAGTGGGTAGCAACCTAGGCAGCAGTGACCATGAGATGGTTGAGTTCAGGATCCTGACAACAGGAAGAAAGGAGAGTAGCAAAATATGGACCCTGGACTTCAGAAAAGCAGACTTAGACTCCCTTAGGGAACTGATGGGCAGGATCCCCTGGGAGGCTAATATGAGGGGGAAAGGAGTCCACGAGAGCTGGCGGTATTTTAAAGAAGCCTTATTGAGGGTGCAGGAACAAACCATCCCAATGTGCAGAAAGAATAGCAAATATGGCAGGTGACCAGCTTGGCTTAACAGTGAAATCTTCGGTGATCTTAAACTCAAAAAGGAAGCTTACAAGAAGTGGCAATTTGGACAGATGACTAGGGAGGAGTATAAAAATATTGCTCAAGCATGCAGAGGTATAATCAGGAAGGCTAAGGCAAAGCTGGAGTTGCAGCTAGCAAGGGATGTGAAGGGTAACAAGAAGGGTTTCTACAGGTACGTTAGCAACAAGAAGAAGGTCAGGGAAAGTGTGGGACCCTTACTGAATGGGAGAGGCAACCTAGTGACAGACGATGTGGAAAAAGCTGAAGTACTCAATGCTTTTTTTGCTTCAGTCTTCAGAGACAAGGTCAGCTCCCAGCCTGCCTCACTGGGCAACACAGCATGGGGAGGAGGTGAGCAGCCCTCAGTGGTGAAAGAACACTTTAAGGACTATTTAGAAAAGCTGGACATGCACAAGTCCATGGGTCCAGATCTAATGCATCTAAGGGTGCTGATTATCTTTGAAAATTCGTGGCAATTGGGGAAGGTCCCGGACAATTGGAAAAAGGCAAATATAGTGCCCATATTTAAAAAAGGGAAGAAAGAGAACCCAGGGAACTACAGACCAGTCAGCCTCACTTCAGTCCCCAGCAAAATCATGGAACAGGTCCTCAAGGAATCCATTTTGAAGCACTTGGAGGAGAGGAAGGTGATCAGGAACAGTCAACATGGATTCACCAAGGGCAAGTCATGCCTGACCAACCTGATTGCCTTCTATGATGAGATAACTGCCTCTGTGGATATGGGAAAATTAGTGGATGTGATATATCTTGACTTTAGCAAAGCTTTTGATACGGTCTCCCACAGTTTTCTGGCCAGTAAGTTAAAAAAGTATGGATTGGATGAATGGACTATAAGGTGTATAGAAAGCTGGCTAGATTGTTGGGTTCAATGGGTAGTCATCAACGCTCGGTGTCTAGTTGGCAGCCAGTATCAAGCAGAGTGCCCCGGGGTCAGTCCTGGGGCTGGTTTTGTTCAACATCTTTATTAATGATCTGGATGATGGGATGAACTGCACCCTCAACAAGTTCACAGATAACACTAAGCTGGGGGGAGAGGTAGGTACACTGGAGGGTAGGGATAAGGTCCAGAGTGACCTAGACAAATTGGAGGATTGGGCCAAAAGAAATCTGATGAGGTTCAACAAGGACAAGTGCAGAGTTCTGCACTTAGGAAGGAAGAATCCCACGCACCGCTACAGACTAGGGACCGAATGGCTCGGCAGCAGTTTTGCAGAAAAGGACCTGGGGATTTCAGTGGACGAGAAGCTGGATATGAGTCAACACTGTGCCCTTGTTGCCAAGAAGGCCAACGGCATATTGGGCTGTATTAGTAGGAGCATTGCCAGCAGATCGAGGGAAGTGATTTTTCCCCTCTATTTGGTACTGGTGAGGTCACATCTGGAGTACTGTGTCCAGTTTTGGTCCCCCCACTACAGAAGGGATGTGGACAAAATTGGAAAGAGTCCAGCAGAGGGCAACAAAAATGATTAGGGGGCTGGGGCACGTGACTTAACGAGGAGAGACTGAGGGAACTGGAAAGGAATACTTGTGGCACCTTAGAGACTAACCAATTTATTTGAGCATGAGCTTTCGTGAGCTACAGCTCACTTCATCGGATGCATACCGTGGAAACTGCAGAAGACATTATATACACACAGAGACCATGAAACAATACCTCCTCCCACCCCACTGTCCTGCTGGTAATAGCTTATCTAAAGTGATCATCAAGTTGGGCCATTTCCAGCACAAATCCAGGTTTTCTCACCCCCACCCTCACCCCCATACACACACAAACTCACTCTCCTGCTGGTAATAGCTCATCCAAAGTGACCACTCTCCAAGTTTAAATCCAAGTTTAACCAGAACGTCTGGGGGGGGGGGGGATAGGAAAAAACAGGGGGAAATAGGCTACCTTGCATAATGACTTAGCCACTCCCAGTCTCTATTTAAGCCTAAATTAATAGTATCCAATTTGCAAATGAATTCCAATTCAGCAGATTCTCACTGGAGTCTGGATTTGAAGTTTTTTTGTTGTAAGATAGCGACCTTCATGTCTGTGATTGCGTGACCACAGAGATTGAAGCGTTCTCCGACTGGTTTATGAATGTTATAATTCTTGACATCTGATTTGTGTCCATTTATTCTTTTACGTAGAGACTGTCCAGTTTGACCAATGTAAATGGCAGAGGGGCATTGCTGGCACATGATGGCATATATCACATTGGTGGATGTGCAGGTGAACGAGCTTCTGATAGTGTGGCTGATGTTATTAGGCCCTGTGATGGTGTCCCCTGAATAGATATGTGGGCACAGTTGGCAACGTTTTTATGGCTGATTTAGAACAACGCTTCCTCAGCTCTCGTCCCCTAAAGCCCCTACTCTACTTGCGCTATATTGATGACATCTTCATCATCTGGACCCATGGAAAAGAAGCCCTTGAGGAATTCCACCATGATTTCAACAATTTCCATCCCACCATCAACCTCAGCCTGGTCCAGTCCACACAAGAGATCCACTTCCTGGACACTACAGTGCTAATAAACGATGGTCACATAAACACCACCCTATACCGGAAACCTACTGACTGCTATTCCTACCTACATGCCTCCAGCTTTCACCCTGACCACACCACACAATCCATCGTCTACAGCCAAGCTCTGCGATACAACCGCATTTGCTCCAACCCCTCAGACAGAGACAAACACCTACAAGATCTCTGTCAAGCTTTCTTACAACTACAATACCCACCTGCGGAAGTGAAGAAACAGATTGATAGAGCCAGAAGAGTTCCCAGAAGTCACCTACTACAGGACAGGCCTAACAAAGAAAATAACAGAACGCCACTAGCGGTCACCTTCAGCCCCCAACTAAAACCCCTCCAACGCATTATTAAGGATCTACAACCTATCCTGAAGGATGACCCAACACTCTCACAAATCTTGGGAGACAGGCCAGTCCTTGCCTACAGACAGCCCCGCAGCCTGAAGCAAATACTCACCAACAACCACATACCACACAACAGAACCACTAACCCAGGAACCTATCCTTGCAACAAAGCCCGTTGCCAACTGTGTCAGTCTGCAGAAGAGAGGAATGAGGGGGGATTTTATAGCACCCTTCAACTATCTGAAGAGCGGTTCCAAAGAGGACGGAGCTACGCTGCTCTCAGTGGTAGAAGATGACAGGACAAGGAGTAATGGTCTCAAGTTGCAGTGGGGGAGGTCTAGGTTGGATATTAGGAAACACCATTTCACTAGGAGGGTGGTGAAGCACTGGAATGGATTACCTCGGGAGGTGGTGGAATCGCAATCCCTAGAGGCTTTTAAGGCCCGGCTTGACAAAGCCCTGGCTGGGATGATTTAGTTGGGGATTGGTCCTGCTTTAAGCAGGGGGTTGGACTAGATGACCTCATGAGGTCTCTTCCAAGCCTCATCTTCTATGATTCTAAGAGTTCACTGGTGTGACTTTCTTTAAAACATCATCAGCAAGCACATATTTCTTGAAAGGTTCTTATTCCCAAACTGCTGCCTGTACCATTATCGGTTTTCCCCTCTAGCGAGAGAATGGTCTGGTAGATCTCAAATCAACGAAGGCTACCCTCAGAAAGACCTCAAGACTTCTGGAATATGCAGCTCAAACAGTTTCACTTTTGTTTCTACTGCCTGTCCCTCCCTTCTCACATTAATCTCCAGACTTCTTCTCCTTGTCCACATCTATTCTGCCCCCAACAATCTTCTATTCATTGAACTTTTTGAAACTTTGCACTTTCAGAGAGAGGTCAGGGATTGACTCTGTGTACACAGATTTGCAGAGGGACAATAGGGTTGAGGTCTGTTATTCCTCATCTCTCTATATTGTTTACTTATTTTAAAACATTTTTGCTGGTAAGAAGCATGGTACCTCTGGAGACACAAAACCACAGTTTGAGAACTGCAAAACTAAGCATCTCTGATGGTATCTTCTACACTGAGCACTGAGTCCCATTGGGTAGATAGAAAGATTAACCTAAATAATCTCTACAGAAGCGTCTGGCTCCCCATAAGATTGTGTCCCTAATCCAAGAACTATTGGAACTCATTTATAAAAACTTTTCTTAAACATTACACGAATATATTGTCTCCTCTGAGAGACTCAGAATTTAGAATCCCGATTCCATGATGAGATCTCTTTGAGCTGGTTAATTAAAACTGTCTCGAGATAGGGTTTTTCCCTCAAAAAGGATTTTATCAAAACCAAAATCCGATTTAAATAATAACAATAAAAAAAAAACAACCCAGCTGTTTGGATGCTTTTAAACGAATCGCGGCTTGTTCTCCACCCTGCCCTACAACACCCTTCCCCCAGCTCGTGCCCCTGCAGCGCCCGCTTTGGGGCGCCCTTCCTCAACCTGCCCCGGGCTCCGGAGTGAGTTTCGTTTCCCCTCTTTTCTGCCCCCGGCCCCCGCGCCGGCCCAGCTCCGCCCCCGCCGGCCCCACCCCGCGCGGCATATCTGGAGCCCCCGCTCCGGAGCGGGCAGAGCCCTCGCCATGGATCCCGGTGTGAGCCTCGACCTGCAGCCCCGCGACGGCGGCAAGATGGGGCAGGGCGCCTCGGCTCCCCCGTACTCCTACCCCTACACCGGCCTCGGGCAGAGCGGCCCCGGGCAGAGCGGCCCCGGGGAGGAGCCGCCCCGCGACTTCGTGCTCTGGTCGCTCTTCAACACCGTCTTCTGCAACGTCTGCTGCCTCGGCTTCATGGCTCTGGTCTTCTCCTTCAAGGTGAGCCCGGGCGGCTCCGGGGCCAGGGGCGCTGCCCGCGAGTGACAGGTGCCCGGCCCGGGGCGGGGGAGGCGAGTCCCCAGGTGCGGGGCAGCCAGGCAGGGCTGGGCACCCGCTTCCCAGGGCTGTGATCTTAAAGGCTGCTCCTCCCGCTCGGAAACCATGGATGGAGCGGCCAAAGGAGACCTGGATCAGAGACGGATTTTACAGGCGACCCCACCCGAAACCTTACCATTTTTGCCAGGCCTGTTAGCAGCGTTTCAAGTGATCCCTTCTCAGCTGTGTGGCTGCAGAAAGCCTCCTAGCAGTTTGCAAAATTGTCCGCCCCAAGGGTGTGAGTCCCTGACCTGGACTCCTTTTCTTGTAATCCACTGGGAATACAGTTTCACTCCTGTACATTTATTTGTTTTGTAAAATGCCCTTTTTATTACGGTCAGCGCCGTCTGCCATTTCCCCTCTGGTAACGTTGTGGGGAGGGATGTCATTGCGCTGTTTAATTTGTATTTTTAATAGCAAATAAGCTTTGAAAATAGGAACAGTCGCTCGGAGCTTCAGCAATCACATTGTACAGAGCGTCTAGCCCCAGGTGGGCAAACTTTTTGGCCCCAGGGCCACATCGGGGTGCGAAACTGTATGGAGGGCTGGGTAGGGAAGGCTGTGCCTCCCCAAAGAGCCTGGGCCCCACCCTCTATCCGCCCCCTACCATTTCCTGTCCCTGATTGCCCCCTCCCGGCACGCCCTGCCCCTAACTGCCCCCCTGAGACCCCACCCCCATCCAAGCCCCCCTGCTCCTGTCCCCTGACTGCCCTGACCCCTATCCACACCCCTGACAGGCCCCCCGGGTCTCCCACACCTATCCAATCCCCCCACGACCCCTATCCACACCCCTGATGGGCCCCCTGGGAACCCACCCCCCTATCCATTCCCCCTGTTCCCGGACTGCTGTGACCCCTATCCAAACCCCAACCCCTCTTGCCGTCCCGCACGCACCACCGCTTCGCCCGCACCCCCCACATGCCAATCAGATTGGCAGGAGCTCACAGTCCTGCTGCCCAGATGGAGCCAGCTGCACGTGACTGCAGGGGAGGGGGGACAGCAGGGGAGGGGCCGGGGGCTAGCCTCCCCGGCTGGGAGCTCAAGGGCAGGGCAGGACGGTCCGACCCGCGGGCCGTAGTTTGCCCACCTCTGGTCTAGTGTAACATTTCCTGTGTGTATTGCAATTTTACAGTTAATTTACAGTTTTTAATGCCATTTTGTTTTTATAACACAAGTTTATTCTGGGATCATATGCCTTCAAGGCTGACTGGTTCCTGGGGTTGGTGTAAAAACTTCTTCAGTGGCCTTTGATCCTCCAATGGGGATTGCCTTTGTCAACTGTTGTTTTACCTCTATCAAGCACCCTAGTTCTTGGAAAAGGGTCCCCACTACTGGCCAGATTTTCCTTAAGATTGAAAGCACCCACATGCGTCTGAAAATCCCACGAGTCGCTGCAATATTTTTCAGAGGAACAGCCGTGTTAGTCTGTATTCGCAAAAAGAAAAGGAGTACTTGTGGCACCTTAGAGACTAACCAATTTATTTGAGCATGAGCTTTCGTGAGCCACAGCTCACTTAAGTGAGCTGTGGCTCACGAAAGCTCATGCTCAAATAAATTGGTTAGTCTCTAAGGTGCCACAAGTACTCCTTTTCTTTTTGCAATATTTTTAAAATTCAGGCTCTAAGGGCACTGTGCTACCTTGCAGGAAATCCTTCTCAAAGGCAAACTTCTACTGTAACTTGTTTAAACCTAGAACCCCATGATAAGTTGACAGCCAAGAATGCAAAAATCATGAGTTATGCACCTAAACTTGATTAAATTAAAAAAGAACAATTTTGGGGTCTTTTAATGTGCTTTTCAGTTAGGACCGTCCTTAGGATTTATGGGGCCCTACGCTGTATTATTAAACTGGTGCCACTATGCCGGACCAGCAGCCCAGGCTCACAGCCCGGTGGGGAGGGGGAGGGATGAGGCAGCAAAGGATACTGAGCCGCCCGGCCCGCCTCACGGTGGCGGAGTCACAACGCTTTAACATTGCCAGTGTAGACTAGCCCTAACGCAGTCTGAGTAAATATTACCGTAATGCATAACTGGTTTTGTCAGTAAAGTCGGAAACTGACAGTATGTACCTTGGGGTTGGCAAATGCCTGTAAATTGGCTTCATTACCACTTGAATGGCTCTTTAACAGTTTCAATGTTGTGCTAATAGGTCTGGCAGGCTGGAAGGCTTTTTCACTTTTAAGTTACTAGATCCCCTCCAGAGGAAGACTCACCAGGCTGCAGCAGCTAGCTGTGGGAGCCTGCAGGAAGGGTCAGAACAGGGATAGGAAGGGTGAAGGGTGGACTCTAAGACCCAGGGGTGCCCCAAATTTTCATGCCCTCTGCAGCTGCCTATGCCTAAGGACAGCCCTGCTTTCTGTTTCAGAGCCTTTAGGTTGCCCTGGCTTCATATTTTTGCTGTTACCTTTCCCAAGGAATCCATATACTTAAAATGATTGTACTTTGCTATAGCGTTCAGTACCATTTTGGACTTCCAGTAACATGGGATTTCCCTGACCTCCCACCCTTTGTAATTGCAAATTTATTAAAAAATCCTTATTTCTGTAAGTAACCCCCCATCCTGCAAACACTAAAGCGCACCCTTTACACATCTGGTACTTTGTTTGTTGCATACTTAAATGTTGACTTTTCAACTGAATTGTTTATACTTCTAATTGCATATTTTAATTTCAATCCACCTTTTAGGCACGTTGCATATTTCGTTCTGCTGCACTTTGGGGCGGTATTTGTATCTAAATGTCTGCAACCCCCTATATGTGTGGGTGTCATGGGAAAACGAGTTAAAGCATTTTAAACTAAAGGCATTAAGAGGCCTCCCCCCCCTAATTTCCCTTAGTTGCTTCCCTTTACTAATAAGGGTTTGTCTACACGGTGTGATGCTAAAGGTGTGATGTTAATGCACACAAGTTACACTGCCATAAACCCATGTATGGATGCTCTCATTCAGAAGCACAGTGGGCCTTAATTTTGACAACAGTAGCCAGGTCCAGGTCAACCCCAGAAGATTGCAGGAATTCTCCCTCCCCCCGCCCCAAGACAATTAGTCATCATGTCTTTCACCGGTCTTGAATGTTTTAAAGTCTTGTATAGTCCAGATGTAAATTACATTTATTTTATTTTAAGTCCAGAGAGGAGGAGGGAAGCAGTGGAGTACTCATCTTAACTGGTAGGGCCTGTGCATGCAGAAGGTGTTGGCCTAGCTACACAGTGATGCTCTCTATAAGCAATGTATATAAAGTGGTGACATTGATGTCCCATTAGAACTGACCGATTGAGTTACATTTTTGGTGCTTTAAACTATAAAGATTCCTCTTTAATCTCCGCCTCTACCTGCTCACTACCCACACATAATATACCCCTTACCTTCTACTAAGTATGCACTCCTAGGAATATTTACTTTTACAAACACGACACTGTCCCTTACACGTTTCTTACACCATGAATCCATGATGGCAAATATTCTGAAATAAGAGCATGCACACGGAGCTATTCCACTAGAACTATATTGCTTTAAAGTCACACGCTACCTGATTCTGGAATCCCATCCCAAATAGATAAATCCCTAATAATGGAAAGAAAGAAAGAATAAAGGAAAGCTCTCTCCTGAGAGAACTGGGAAGTAGGTTCTATTTCAACCACAAGTTGTTGGTTAAATGCAGGGATTGTTGGGTGAAATTCTCTGTGCTGCAGGAAGCTGGACTTCATAAAGGCCCCTTCTGTTATTGAATTTACTGGTTGCCTGTTTTTGCCTGGCAGTGCTGGAGCTCTGCTGGTTCTCTTGGGCAGTGCAATCAACATGTCACTGGACTTCTCTGTCTGAATTCTGCACGCCTTGACAACTGTGCATGTCCAGGTGCTCCATGGAATAAATTAAACAATGAGATAAAGACATAATATACAGTAGTGAATAAATGGGTAATTCAGCCATAAGGTTTCTCCCTACTGAAAATGTCCAGACTGTGTGTAAATGTGGTGTAGCTCTGTTGGTCCCAGGATATAAGAGACAAGGTGGGTGAGGTCATATTTTTTTAATGGCCCAACAGAAGTTGGTGGAATGTACAACTTTGTCTCTTTTGGCATCAGAATTTGGCCCAATAAAAGGTATTCCCTTACCCGCCTTGTCTCTCTGCAAGGCGAAAGACAAGCTGCTAGAAGACTGAAAGGAGTGGGCAGGATGAGAGGGAGCGAGAGAGCTGGTGAAATTGGCTACAGCAAATCTATGAAGAGACTTAAAAATAAGGAGGGCAACTTGGAACTTAATCTGGAAAGAGAGGGGCAGTTCTGAGGGTGCAGAAGATCCATGTGTGCTTCTTGGGGCATGTGAGCAGGCAGGTAGGGTGGTTAAACACGTGTTGGCATCTTGAGGGATGGGGCTAAGGGAGGCCACAGAGGAGTTGCTGGAAATCAAGGTTAGGGGAGATGAGAACCTCTGGGGAGGAGGATTTCAGCTGAGGGGCTGTAAAGGCAGTGGAGCACATGGGCGAGGTCGCAGAGAGAGCGAGAGGCAGTTCCATAGGAAATATGAAGAGAGGAGAGTTCAGGGCCCAAGGGGAAGCTAAAGTCAGAGTGGGGAGGTCTCAGATGTGCAGAGTGTTAGGAGTCACTCTGTTCATTTCCCCCCACACCTCTGCTTGCCAGCAGCACTGGCTAGTTGGAGACGGATATTGAGAGTTGATGAGCACCCAGAACTTCCACCAAAGTCTTGAGAGCCGCAAGTTCACAACCGCCCTGAGAAGCAGGCCTTGGTGCCTCAAGCATTTCACTCTTTACCCTTATTACTTCCCCTTCCTCCCCCCAGGCCAGAGATCGCAAAGTTCTGGGTGACGCCAATGGAGCAGGAAGCTATGGCAAGACTGCCAAGTGCCTGAACATCGCGGTCCTGGTACTGAGCATCTTGACAGTGATTCTGATCATTGTCCTCGTGGCAACAGGAGCTGTGGCCGTCTCGCAAACAATTCAACAGGGGAACCAAAACAAGAACAACTATGGCTTTAACTATGGCAACTAAACCACCCCTCAGGATTCTCCCCAGCTGGATGACTTCTCCGCAAGTTCCCTTACTCTGCTCTGCTTGCCTTTGTCCTGCTGTTTAAATTGTCAAGGGCTGGAGTGCTCAGTTACTGAGTGGATGAAGGGGCAGCGCTCTCCTGATGCTCCAGTTGTTCTGGAGGGGTCACTATAGTGACGGGGTGGGGTGGGGGGGGAGGTTTCTCACATTGCTCTGTTTTCCCCATCCCAAAAGCAGACTGCGTGGCTTTCAAAGCCCTCCGAGATCCTGCAGTTTTTGAGGAGGGTCAATGTTGTTCGTCTTGTGATTATTCAGAATTTTCTCTTTAGAGAATTATTTTTGTAGAGCTCTTCTTGGCAGAAATGTGTGGGGACTATTTTCAAATAAATGTTTTTTTCCCTCTTGTAATTAGTTTATTTTTTATTCTTTTCAAAAGAAGCAGTTGAGTTCCTCCCAGAACTGAAAGGTTCTGGTCCCCAAACTCTCCATCCCAGGGTCAACAATCCATTTTTAATCTGGTAGCACCTGGCTCTTGGGAACACCAGTGCTCCTATTAATGCTGATCTTGGGAGCAGCACGGATGTGGGTGTTAGGGGGCTTATTCCTTCACCCACTCACTTCCCTGGTCCTTCTCGCATGAACAGAGAGCAACAATACCCAAAGTCCAAAGGTGCAAACAATTTGATGTTTATTGGGGTGAACTTCCAGCAAGCATGATTCCAGTTTCCTTCCTTAGTATCCTCCTTCCCAGCTCTGACACCACAGAGCCTTACACCTGTGTCCCTGTTCCCATTCCTGCCCTTAGCCAAACATGATTCCAAGTTCCCCACTCCCATTCCCTGTTCCCATTTTCCCCCCCCCCCACTCCCACTTCCTGATTGACTGCAGACTATATAGTAAAACTTGAGTTCTGCTTAGCTATACCTTAACCAATCATTTTCCTGAAATTTAACTAACTGATCCTAACATATTGTATCCGATGAAGTGAGCTGTAGCTCACGAAAGCTTATGCTCAAATAAATTGGTTAGTCTCTAAGGTGCCACAAGTACTCCTTTTCTTTTTGCAAATACAGACTAACACCGCTGTTACTCTGAAACCTGTCATATTGTAACATGATTATGTAACCAATTATATCCCACCACCTTAATGAGTTTACACCCAGCAAAATTTATTATACAGCAGACAGGAACAATCACAGAACCAGACAGAGATTATACAGACAAACAATAGCAAAGTGGGAACTATAATGACAAAACAATACAGAAGTGAGGATTTCACATCCCAGCTATTGATAAGTGAGTTCTTGCCAGACAGGATGCTATCAAACTAAGTTTCCTTTTACGTTTTCTAGGCATTTTCCTTTCTCTGGAGGGGATAGGCACTATCAGGACAGGACTGTATTCCTGACAGCCCAGTAGCACCTTATTTCAATGTGACTAGTTTGGAATGTGAGGAGGTGACCGGTCACTTCCCAGCTTATGGCTGCCTCTGTTGCTTAGCCAAAGGCCTGAGCCTAAGAACAGGGCCTCAGATTGTCACAGTAAGAGAAGGCCCTTACACTGGCAGACAGTGATTTGATTCTTTCTTTTATACCTCTATAACTAGCTTAGTGAGAAGAATACACCTAAATTCTCAGAGTATAGGCCTTTACAGACAGAGCTGAATATCTGTATCCTAACAGTGGGGAACGTGGAAGAGGAGACCAACAGAGTCCTGCAGGGGACTTAGTGCATAAGCCCTGCTTGGTACCAGCCCCACAGCTTTCCTCCTGGAGACCTTAAACTCCAGAGGAGCAATCTGGTCTGTTGTGAAATCCCAGGGGCCCCTGGTCTGTGGTGAAATCCCACGAGACACAGAGCCAAATACCAGAGGTAGAACCCCACTGATGCACAGGAACATACAGACCTTAGAAGTCTGCGTGCGCCTGCAGAAAATCCTGAGGTCCCCAACAGAAGTTTTACATTGGGGATTGTGGGAGGCTCTTTGTCCTTTCCCAGGGGAGCCGAAGGACAGCACTTTTGCCTTGTGAAAGAGGGATCCTCGTGATGCTGGTTGGAGATTCTGGGAGTCTGCTTTAGGTGAGAATAACTGCTTGAGACAAGGATTCAGCCTGTTAAGTTTAGACTCTAGAAGGCATGTTATACTTCTGTTTTACATATAACCATTCTGTCTCCATTGCCCTTACTCACTACCCACTTGAACCGCTGATCTTTAATAAATCTGGTCTTATTTTCACTCCCCACATATTTCAGCGCTGTGGTATTAAGCGGAGGAGATCCTGAGTTGAAATAATTCAAGCTGGTGTGTACTGACCCCTGGGGGATGGCAACTCTCATAATTCTGTGTGCGTGCAGTGAAGTGCCTGGGCACTGCAGGGAGCACTGTGCAGATTCAGGGGTTGGTGTGTGCCTATCAGTAGCATGCACACAGAGAGCGAGGTCTGCGGCAGCCTGGCCGTTCATACTTGTGTTGACAAAGGCTGATAGTGTCTAGGAGCTGATGCACAGACAAGACTTACTCATGCTAAGGACAGGTGGTGGTGAGGTGCCTCACAACTAGGGTGACCATATTTCTCAACGGAAAAACGGGACACCACATGGAGCTAGCCTTCGGCCCCCTCCCCATGCAGGGCTCAGCTGAGCCCTGTCCCCCCTCCCAATGTGGGGCTGGGGGTCGCTGCTTGTCCAAGCCCTCCATCGGCACTTGTGCCCCCCCTCCGCCCGAGCACGTTCATCTGCACTTGACTTTCTTGACAAAAATGGGCATTTGATCAGTTGGCAAGAGCAAACAGGACAAATACCCACTTTTGCTAAAAACCTCAGGATTGCTGGAGTAGGGCTTAGAAAAGGGACTTGTCCTGGCCAAAATGGGACATATGGTCACCCCACTCACAACCCTGGGTATCCCTGGAGGGGCATCACAGTCCCAATCCCTCTCCTTTACCCTCTGACTTCTCTCTCCTTCTTGTAGATCCACAGGACTCAGCCCCTTCACTCTAATAATTTAGATGGAACATAGGGTCCCAAAGGTGTGAACACGGCCCCACTTGTGTCTTAACTCAACACAAGGTTTGTAGTTTGGCATATAGAGACCACAGTTGGCTTGGCACCATGGCAGCACAATTAAACATTCTTTTAACGCTTTATTGACAATGCAGCAGAAGGAGGACAAACAGTTAAAATGTAAGTCTTTCATCTTAACATCCCTTGTTCCCTTTAGCAGGAGAGAGTCTTTAGGACCCCGACCCTCTGCTCAGCCCTCGTCTGACATTTGCTTAGAACAGTGGGAATAGCTGTCCTGTGTGGGGGAAAAGCAAGAGTTAGCTGAGATGGGCTGGAGTCGGATCCTGTTTGCCTCAAGACAAAACAAGAGCCATGCAAGGGGAAAGAGAAGAATAGCAGAGAGAGAAAATGCAGCTGCTGTTGTTTTTTTCACTTTCAACCTCACTGCTGGAAAAACACAGCACGTGGTCTCAGCAGCCACTCTGAGACTTGGCAAACTTGTACCTTATCCGGCTGTTCAGGGCACTGCATTTAGTAGCCTCTGTCTGGTCCCAGCAGTGTTGTGAACAGGCAGGCCTGGCAAACGAAGTCAGGCTTCCATTAGACAGGAGGAAAACGGAGAGGGATTGGCAAGAGAAGACATAAGGTAGGGAAGGAAAAGGACACATGGGAGGAAGGAGGAAAGACAAAGTCTCACACCCAGGTGGGGGATGGGATTTAGCCAAAGCCCGTGCAGGTGATGGTGTCAGCTGGGTCCCTTCTCTGTGGCCTGCTCTGGTCAGAACGTCTCAGAATGAGGATGAGAATGGAACAAGGGTGTCAGGCTGGGTCCCAGGAAATGGTGGGGGTGGCAGCCATCTGGATGAACCCTGCACCTTCCCTTTTGTTCAATCAGTGAGTGTGCTTGCTTCACCTCTACTCAATGCCCCCCTCCCTAGCCCCACTGGGAGGACCCCAACGGGGTGTGATTGGTGGGATCGCCCATCCCCTCGTTTTTCTGCCCACCAGGTGTCTGACCTGCCAATATTGGGGCATTGATTTCCAGTTCCACACTCCTCTTGTTTACCAGGCGTGATCTTCGCACTCTCCTTGAATTACATCCCTTTGCCTTTTCCTTTGAACTAGTTCGGTCTGGCTGTCTCCCTCTGGCACCTTTTCCCACCAACATTTATTATTCTAGGCTCACTGTGACATTTAATGACCTTTAACTCACTTTTCACGGTGGCGCTCACAAGTGGGGTCAGTTTGTCTGCCCAATTATTACACTGGTGGTGACAAAAAGGAAACTCTCTGGAGTGTGGGAGCACCGCAGGAGCAGCTGTGGCTGACGGCAGCCGGCAGAGCTGTCAGATCAGTGGGTTGGTGTGCTGGAGAGTGAACTTGCGATGAGTGAGTGTAGAAGCCATGAGCATGGCTCAGAACTATGGCCCTCCCTTCCTCATGGATTTCATTAGGAAATATAAGGGGGAGGGGAGGAAGAACATTTGGAGCGACAAAGCTCTGCAGAGGGCGGGAAGCAGTGACCCAGCTGTGACGACACACTTCCTGTCAGTTCATGAAAAACTAAACAAATTCCTAGACCAAAATTTCCTTAAGATGGAGTTAAGGGTCAGAGCATGTTACACTTGGGAACATGTCAACATCCTGGAAGAACAGTTCAGTTCTCAATGTGGAGAGCCAGGACATTCCGAGTTAAGGTTAAACTGAAAAAGATCACCCAGTATTTGAATAGATGATTTGTGCAGCAGCTGTTCCCAGAAAGCTAAATTGGAATTTCCACCCCCCAGCCAAAGAGTGGGGAGGGGAGCTTGCATGCTGACTGGAATTTTTTGTCTGGCCCTCCTCTATAATGGGTCAAACCAAATCCCTAGATCCATCATCCTTCAGTTCTTGGGGGTTCTGAAATAAGAGCTGATTCTTGTTACAAGCTCATGCCTGGCTCCAGCTAGATGAAAATTTTTATTAAAGCTAATGTTAAAAAAATTATATAATACATAGGTTGAGAAAAGAGTGTCTGTACATCTGGGTATAGTGCTTATATTATCCACAAATACAAAGTTTGTTTTTAAAGTCATAAGATACATATAGTGCATAATCAGCAATAACCAAAATTTAGGTGTATGAATTTAAGAATACAGTTTAGATATCTAGTATCCATGCATTTGGGTACATTACTGATGAAAAAAGTTATACAGAGAGTTGGTGGCGGAAAGGAAAATATATCAATGAGTGAAGATTGTCCCTCAGTAATTGAGAATTTAGGATAGGTTGTCCATTTAGAGAAAAAAACAGTCCATCAGGAAAGTATTTGAGTTACTTTCCTGAGTGCGCTTCTCATTGGCACTCCAGTACTACCCTCCCTCGGGACCCAAGAGGGAGGGACCATTACGTAGCCACAGATTTTCTTCTAAAAGTTGTTTGTGGCTGGCCTTGTTCTCTCCAACCAGATGAACATTAACTAAACTATGACATTCAGCTGTGGAAATCTTGGCTTGGGTAGGTTTTTCCATCCCAAGTCCTGCCCACACACTATTGTAATGATCAGAGGTGTGTTCCATTTCCACTTCACAGCCATGCCTTATCTGGCGGCTCAATACACTGGCCTAACAGTTCTGGATTCCTCCCACCCCCATGTATTTTCATCCAGTTGCTTGGGAAGAATTTCGGGGTTTGTTTTCCGCAGAACTTGTAGCACATGTTCGAGGCACATTCTGATAACTTTTTTAAAGGTATCTGCTTTCTCTATATTTTCCATTGATCTGGAAATGTTTTTGCTGCACACCGTTAACCTGTGGAACATACTGCCACAAGAGCCCTGGGGCTCACTTCTGATTTACGTCCTATGTTCCTAGAGGTCATACTTCAGGGTTTCAGCTGGCCACTGGCAGTGATGAGGAAGGGATCCCCCACAGTGTATTCTGAGAGAGGTTTTTTTGGTATCTTCTCCCTCTGAAGGGATGGCCACAGCTGGAGATGGGAAACTGAGCCGGTGGGCCAGGGCTTTCAGGTGGCAACGAGCATGCTCTCCCTCAGGTGTTTGGCTGGGTGTGTCTTGCTCACCTGCTCAGGGTCAAAATGATTGCCATATGTAGGGTTGGGAAGGAGTCTTCCCCCAGGTCAGATTGGCAGAGACCTTGGGGTTTTTTGAGCTTCCTCTACTGTGGGTGGGTGCAGGTCATACGCCAGATTATCTGGGTGTATCTCACTTATCGGATGCATCCGATGAAGTGAGCTGTAGCTCACGAAAGCTCATGCTCAAATAAATTGGTTAGTCTCTAAGGTGCCACAAGTACTCCTTTTCTTTTTGTCTCTTCTGTGTATCCTCTCCATAGGGCTGACATTTCCTAGGGGTGGGGGAGGCTGATAGAGGAGGGAGTAGAGCAGAAGGGATGCATGGAGGGGAGAGGCTGGGAAGAAAGGAGAGACAGGGAGTGTGGGGTCTCTAAAGGAGGTTGGGGTGGCAAGTGGTGGTGAGGATGGGCTGCCAAAGAGCTGCCCCCTCCTACCAGCCTATCTGGTGGGGGGAGCAGGGGCAGATCTAGATGGTGAAGTAAAGAGGAAGATCCCTCCTGGGGGCAGAAGGGGTGTATAGGGCCTGGCTCTGTCCTGGGGGTGGCTCCCAGAATTTAGTTTCCTGACTCCGCCACTTGGGCTCCCCCAGCCCCTCCCTCCAGAACCTCCCAGGTCCCGCCACACTCAGGCCCCGCACCACCCAGCAATGGATTCTAAGCTGCAGGCCGTGAGCAGGCGTGGCTGCCCCCTACCTTGGCCCCAGGTGGGGCTTCCAGCCCCTGGACTTTGTGCTTTGGTCCATCTCTGCAACATCCTGCTGTGCCAGGAGATCGCTCTCCTGGGCTGTGTGAGCTGCCCTGCACTGATCTTCTCCAGCATGATGAGACACCCCCCCACCCAAATGCTCCGATCCCTCCAGTCCAGCTTGCACCAGATCCCCCATGTGCCAGGGCCCATTGCCGCATCCCGATCCCTGCCCCTTGCTTTCCACCGCATCACTCCCATCCCACCCGGTTTCCTCCACCCCTGGACATCTCTCGTGCCCCATCCCCCACGCTACATCCCCCAGCCCTCTGCAGTCTTTTGTTTCCTCTGCTCTACCTGCCAAGGCTCCACCTTGAGTTTCCCCACCCCCTGGAGCCTTCGCCTGGCCTCTGTCTGTCTATCCCAAGGCAGGACTCCATCTCCCTGCCAGAGGCTGGCTGAGCTGCCCCATACCCGGGGCTGTCCTTCACTGCCCCCTGCTGGCAGCTGTGTGGGGTTTGGGGTGAGGAGTTGGGGGATGGGGGCAGGAGTCCAGCTCAGGCTCTGCCAGGCTGGGATAAGCCCCAAGGGGGGATTTGGGCTTAGGGAGTGTGGGGGGGGAAAGAAGGGGGTGCACTTAATTCAATAGCTGGGGGTGAGAATTAAATCACTCAGGGGCCTGTCAGATGGTGGGGTATTGAGGAAAGATGGGGAGCTCTGCCCTGGGGTAGCAGGTGCTGGGGGAGGCTACCTCGTCCTGAGGGAGGTGCTGGGGCAGAGGCAGGAGTGGGTGGCTCTGTGTGGGGGAGGGGTGCTGGGGCAGGAGAGGGTGGCTCTCTGCGGGGGGAGGTTCTGGGGCAGGGATAGGAGGGGGTGCAGGGGGATCCTGGGGGACAGGGTGGTGGCTCTCTGCTGGGGAGGTGTTGGGGGGGTAGGGTGGTCGGGCTGGGAGGCAGGGGGGTGGCTCTGTGTGTGGGGATTCTGGAGGGCAGGAGGGGGTGGCTCTGTGCGGGTGGGGGGGCTGGGAAGCAGGGGGTGGCTCTGTGTTTGAGGGTTCTGGGGGGCGGCTCTGTGCGGGGAGGTTCTGAGGGGCAGGGTGGTGGCTCTGTTCGGGGCGGCTGGGAGGCAGGGGGGTGGCTCTGTGTGTAGGTGTTGCCGGCACAGCGTGCCTGAGGCAAGCAACAGCAGGGGTGCATTGCCCGGTGTGCGTTACCCAATAGTTACAACGGGGTGGAGAAGCAGGAAAGTTTATTTGGAATTTTAAAGAAAGGTACAGGGAGAGAAATCTTAAATCCTGCACATCAGAGCAGGTCATTATACATACTTTTATATTTTTTAATGCTATTGCACTACACATTAGCCAGTTAAAGCTTTGCACAAATGCTCTGCCTTCCTTATATGGGTTACAACAATGTTTATTTCCTGCAACCTTTAATAAGCATTTCTAGCAACTTAAACAACCAGCACATTCTGTCTGGCCTTGTAACAATTTCCTCCTGTTATCTTTAACTTGGCATCAGCAAACCTTGCACTATAAGGCATTATCTGCGACTGCAACATTGTATTAAGAGCAAAAGAGCTTACTCAAACCAGCCAGGCCTGAGCTCCCTTAAGGGGGGTTGACAAGAAGCCCTAAGGCCTAGAGCAGGGACACTTCCTCGACCCTTATGGCCTTCCAGCCCCTCGACTTAACTAGTGGCCATGCCCTGGGGTCCTCAACATAGGGGTTCAGGGTGGTGGCTTTGTTATGGTGGGGGGGGCTGGGAGGCGGGGGGTGGCTCTGTTTTTGGGGATTCTGGGGAGCGGCTCTGTGCGGGGGGGCTGGGAGGCAGGGGGGTGGCTCTGTGTGTAGGGGTTCTGGGGGCAAGGTGGTGGCTCTGTTAGGGTGGGGGGGCTGGGAGGCGGGGGGGCTCTGTGTTTGGGGGTTCTGGGGGCGGCTCTGTTTGGGGGGGCTGGGAGGCAGGGGGGTGGCTCTGTGTGTAGGGGTTCTGAGGGGCAGCATGGAGGCTCTGTTGGGGGGGCTGGGAGGCAGGGGGTGGCTCTGTGTTTGGGGATTCTGGGGAGCGGCTCTGTGCGGGGGGCTGGGAGGCAAGGGGGGGTGGCTCTGTGTGTAGGGGTTCTGGGGGCAGGGTGGTGGCTCTGTTAGGGTGGGGGGGCTGGGAGGCGGGGGGGCTCTGTGTTTGGGGGTTCTGGGGGCGGCTCTGTTTGGGGGGGCTGGGAGGCAGGGGGGTGGCTCTGTGTGTAGGGGTTCTGAGGGGCAGCATGGAGGCTCTGTTGGGGGGGCTGGGAGGAGGGGGGGCTCTTTGGGGGTTCTGGGGGCGGCTCTGTGCGGGGGGGCTGGGAGGCAGGGGGGTGGCTCTGTGTGTAGGGGTTCTGGGGGCAGGGTGGTGGCTCTGTTAGGGTGGGGGGGCTGGGAGGCGGGGGGGGCTCTGTGTTTGGGGGTTCTGGGGGCGGCTCTGTTTGGGTGGCCTGTGTGGGGGGGGGGGGGGGGGGGGGGGGGCTGGGGGGGGGGGGGGGGGGGGGGGGCTGGGAGGCAGGGGGTGGCTCTGTGTGTAGGGGTTCTGAGGGGCAGGGGGGGGCTGGAGGCTCTGTTGGGGGGGGGCTGGGAGGTGGGGGGGTGGCTCTGTGTTTGGGGGTTCTGGGGGCAGGGTGGTGGCTCTGTTAGGGTGGGGGGGCTGGGAGGCGGGGGGCGGTCTTTGTTTGGGGGTTCTGGGGGGCGGCTCTGTGCGGGGGGGCTGGGAGGCAGGGGGGTGGCTCTGTGTGTAGGGGTTCTGGGGGCAGGGTGGTGGCTCTGTTAGGGTGGGGGGGCTGGGAGGCGGGGGGGCTCTGTGTTTCGGGGTTCTGGGGGGGGGGGGGGGGGGGTCTGGGGGGGGGGGGCTGTTGGGGGGGGGGCTGGGAGGCGGGGGGGCTCTGTGTTTGGGGGTTCTGGGGGCGGCTCTGTGCGGGGGGGCTGGGAGGCAGGGTGGTGGCTCTGTGTCGGGGTGGGTTCTGGGGGCAGGGTGGTGGCTCTGTTAGGGTGGGGGGGCTGGGAGGCGGGGGGCTCTTTGTTTGGGGGTTCTGGGGGCGGCTCTGTGCGGGGGGGCTGGGAGGCAGGGGGGTGGCTCTGTGTGTAGGGGTTCTGGGGGCAGGGTGGTGGCTCTGTTAGGGTGGGGGGCCTGGGAGGCGGGGGGCTCTGTGTTTGGGGGTTCTGGGGGGCGGCTCTGTGCGGGGAGGTTCTGAGGGGCAGGGGGGCGGCTCTGTTCGGGGGGGCTGGGCGTGGCTCTGTGCGGGGGGAGGCGTTGGGGGGCAGGAGGGGGTGGCTCTGTGCGGGGCGGGGGGTGTTCAGGGAGTTTGTGCTGGGGCGGGGGGCGGTTTCATTTTCGGAGTCTCGTTTCCTGTCTCCGCCCGCCCCGCTCCAGAGTCGCCCGGTTCCAGCCGCGCTCGGAGCCGCACTCGCAGCGCCCGGCCATGGCGTGCAAGGAGCAGAGCGTGAGCATCGACCTGCAGCCCCGGGGCCTGCCTCCCCCCTACCCCGGCGCCCCGCAGGGCTTCCCCGCCGAGCAGCCCCGCGACTTCGTGCTCTGGTCCCTCTTCAACGTCCTGCTGTGCCAGAAGCTGGCCTGCCTGGGCTGCCTGGGCTTCCCCGCGCTCATCTTCTCCATCAAGGTGAGAGCCGGGCCGGACCCTCCGCGCCTCCCGCCCCGGATCCCCCGGCGCCCGGATCCGCCCCCCCCCCAGTGCCCCCAGCGCCCGGATCCCCCTCTCCCAGGTCCCTCAGCACCCGGATCCCTCCTCCCAGATCCCTCAGCACCCGGATCCCCCCCCCAGTGCCCCCAGCGCCCAGATCCCCCCTCCCAGGTCCCCCAGTGCCCCCCAGCGCCCGGATCGCCCCCAGTGCCCCCATCTCTCCAGCCCGCCCGGACCCCCCGGTGCCCCCAGATCCCCTCAGGTCCCCCGATGCCCCCAGCGCCCGGTTTCCCCCCGGTGTCCCCAGCGCCCGGATCCCCCGGTGCCCCCAGTCCCCCGATCTCACCAGCCCGCCCGGATCCCCCGGTGCCCCTAGCGCCCGGATCCCCCTCGGATCACCTGGTGCCCCCAGCGGCCCGATCCCTCCAGCCCGCCCCGCCGGGAAGCCGGTATCCAGGGCTCACGCATCCCAGCTCTCCGACCCTCCCGCATCCCTTCCCGGAGCCCCCGGGTCTCTCCCGACTCCTGGCAGTTTATTTTCCCCTCCCCACAGCCCTGACTCTGGCTTTTCTTTCTCCGCTCAGCCCCCGCCCCCATCCCAAGGCAGGAATCCACCCTGCGGGGCCAGCTGGGCTGCCCCACACCCGGGGCTGTCCTGTGCTGCTCCTGCTATCAGCTGTCCTTGGGCCGGGCTGTGTGGGGGCGTTTAGGGTTAGGAGTTTGCAGCAGAGCCGGTTGGCTGTGAGCATCCTTAGAGGGTCAGGGAATGTCCTGGCATGTCTGGGGCACTTGCTCAGTGCTCCTTGCATTGCCTCTGGTGTGGGGGGTAGCAGGGGGAATGGTGCCCCACATCAGTGCTCCAAAGAGATGTGCTATTCTAGTGTGCAGACTGAGACCTGGCTGGGAATGATCCGTGGGACAGGGCAATAGGAACACCAAACCACTGTGCAAGAGATGCACTTCAGCTTCTCTGCAGGCTGGTTTGGATGCTCAACACTCTAGTAAGTGAGGGCTCAGCTTGGGATGTAGCCAGTCTGCCCTAGGAATTAACTGGCTCCATTTTCCACAATGAGAGACTCAACCCCCGCACGAGTGGGGAGTAAAGGGCTCCTTGCAGCTGGAGTATAGAATGACCCACAGAGGAACATATGGGTGTGCTGTGCCAGGGAGAGCGCATGCAAACCAAGCATGCCATAGAATGTGGACTGCTGTGTGTACAGCTGGGCCAGCTTTAGGAAATTGCAAACTACGTACTCCCAAAGTTTTAGAAACTGTGCATTTGTTTTTCCTTAATAGTGTCTGTTCAGGCTCTCTGAGGTCTGGTCCTCTGCAAGAACAACGAACACCTGAGGTGCACCAAGGAAAAAAAGAAATTCAATATTTATCATTGAGGAAACAGCATTATCATGCTCCCCTGTCTGTCTCTCCAGTTTTCTTTCTATACTGTCGTGACTTACACACAATATAACATTTACACTGTGTTTAGGGCATCCAGCGTATTTGTACAGGGCCTAGCACAATTGGTCCATGGTGCTGGCTCTAGAGGCTAGTTTATAATGACAATTAGTAACAGGATTTCCTGTCACAAGTGGGACTTTTTAGCAGGCTTAAGGATTCCCCACGCTAGGTTTTCAGTCAGCCTTTGTCAGGATAGCAAACCATTCACAGACATCAGAGGTGGGAAAGCACCCCTGTTAGGTCATTTTGTCCCTCTCCTCTGACAATGCCATGTTTTCCACCTCATACATATCTCACAGGGTAGCTTTACATATTCCAGGTGATATGGGCACACCTCCCATTAGGGAGTCATTTTTCTGATCTACTGCATCTTCCTTTGCTCAGTGACACCCTGTTATTTCTAGTTGTACCCCACCTAGGGTGACCAGACAGCAAGTGTGAAAAATCGGGACGGGGGTGGGAGGTAATAGGAGTCTATATAAGTAAAAGACCCCAAAATCGGGACTGTCCCTATAAAATTGGGACATCTGCTCACCCTAACCCCACTGCACCGTGGGCACAGAGTGGTTGCTCTCACTGCTGGGGCTTCACGTCTTTGCAGAGGGTTATATATTTATATCAGTAGGAATGGGGGTCAATTTTATGCATTTGCCCAAGTGTCAATTAGATTTTAATGCTGAAATCCAACAAACCAGATTTGTCTATTTGATGTGTTATAGTGAATGTGGGAATGCAATTCAGTTAGGATAACCCCTTTTTTATCGAGTCCAGAAAGCTTACCAATTTTAGGACTAAAGAGACAAGGTGGGTGAGATAATATCTTTTATTGGACCAACTTCTGTTGGTGAAAGAGACAAGCTTTCTAGCTACACAGAACTCAATTTTAGGAGCAGGTACTTTTGAGGGCACCTTTTACCTTGGACATCCTCTCTCAAATCAGGGCACCTGGGGCTTTTAACTAATCAACAGTTTATTAATCCCCCCATGACCGCATAAGTATATAGTCAACAGATGTGGTTGCTCAAATGAAAATTGCCTGCTTAGTTTCATATTAACCATTCATGCTGTTAGGCTATAGCACCATCTTGTGGTCATGCTTTTGTTGCTTATTTAAACTTCCACCCCTCCCTTTGTTTCCTTATTAGATAAAGATGGCACTGTAAAACAGAACCATAGTGAATCGAGGTCTAGCGCAGATGGGTGGGACCAGCATGCAAACAAGCAACATTATACTAATGGTCATTATGCAAAGGAGCTGCATATTTACAAAAGGCCATGAACTGCGTGATATGGAATGATCTGCACAAGCAGTGGTCTCTGAAATCCTGGCTATTTCGCAAAGCTGTCTCTTGTACTTTCTACACTCCTAGTGAAACCTCAATGAATAAACACCTGAACTAGCTCCCTTTGAACTCTGGCTTCTTCTCTTTCTGCTGCAGAAGTCAGGGAGTTCCCTATAGCTCAATAAGATGGTGCATGGGCTGTGGGTGCTTTATCTTGGCACAGAAGGGGTTAAGCAGTATATAAAAACTCTCCCACCCTCTTGACTTGCTCTCATTTTCCCCATGCTCCTGTTTTCTTTTCCAGGCCCGAGATCGGAAAGTACTGGGGGACCTGGAAGGTGCTCGGAGCTATGGCACCACGGCCAAGGTGTTAAACATCATCGGGTCGCTGCTGGTAGTAGTTGCTATTGCTGTGGTTCTTTCAGTTTTCTTTTTGAGACCTTAGCAGCATCTGTTTAATGAAGTTCCTGGGACTGACACCAGCCAGGCATTCCGAGAAGGGATTGGAAGATAACCCAAATGGCGAAGAAACGACACGCTGCTGGCTATTCGTGCTGTGATGGAAATTCACAACTGGTCATGAGTTCAAAAATTGACTCATTAATAGCACCGTTGTAGCTTTGATGCTAGTTATGTGATCACCCTCATTTCAAATCTGCGCGGGCCCCCAGTCCTCTGCTCCGTGCACTGTGGCCATGGAATTGGCCACTACCTACTTGTTCCTTTTCCAGCCTGATCCAGCTGTTCACCTTTTTTGGATTTCTTGCACTGAAAATCATCCACATTCACTGTTGCTGTGACCCTCCCTCTCTGCAGCACCCGACACAGAGAGTATTAGATGATGAGGTCAGAGGAGGTTCCAGTCTACCTCACTTTGTTCCTAGAGAGGGACCAGAATCACCCACTCTTTGGGGTAGTTTGGATCCAGGCTTTACCATTGGCCCCCATTCTACAATGGGCCAAATCAAAACATGGGTTCCAAATTCCCCTCCCATCCCCCCACTCCCCATGCATTTAGATCTAGATTCAAACTTTGTGCCTTGGCCCAGTTTTATCTGTCTATATCAAGTCAGCAATAATGTTTGCCCGGGGCAGTATTTACAGCAGTAAAGCCATCTGCAGAGACTCTGGCCTGCTCTTTTCACTGCAGCGACCTGCCCTGTGGGGAAGAGAGAAGTGTAAAGGGGACAAAATGTTTAACTTGATCTGTGTGATGGGGTAATGCACTGGGCAACACAGAGCTAACGAGCACATGTGGGACCAGTTGGCCCCGCCCCACCTCTGAGAGATTTTGGAATCCGGGGGGGGGGGTGCTTAAATGGGAGAAACCCAGCTGAGTTGGTTGCAGAGTGGGGAGGGGAGCAGTCCGCAGCTCCTGCAGGGAGGACTGGCTGAAGGCAGGAGCTCTTTGTGCTCCTGGAAGGAAGGGTGGGCTGGCCCTGCTCGCTGTGGTTCACCTTGAGAGGGAACTATTCCTCTCTATTTACTTGTGAACTCATCAGTTTAGGGCCCCAGCCCGGTGAGCATCTTCTAAAGAGCAAGAGCCTTAACCCAGCTTGGGGATGCTTCATTTGTGTTAATACCCCTTTTGTTCTGGTCACTGACACCCACAGCCAGGTGTTCTAGCCAGGGCCCAGCTGGATGGCTGAGCCTTTTAGGACTGGAAGTAGAGTGGGAAAACTACCTGGGCATTGCAGAGCAGGGGCCTGCGTGAGTGGAGGGGCCTGCCTAGAGCCTAGGGGGTGCCTGGGAAAGGCACTCGGGTGTTAATCTGATTAAAAATAAAAGGCCTTATAGTGGTTGGCAGCAGCACATTCTGTCCCCACACACCTAGTTCCCTGCACACCCAGGCCCCATGCAACTGGTTCCAGGGCTCCAATACAGAAGCAGCAGTTGTGTTGAAAGTGTGGGGAGTTTCCCTTCTCCCTCTCCCCTTGGGTCAGGGCTGGGAAGAATTGAGCTGAGTCCTAAATAACTGAATGCATCAGATTCTGACACACCCCTTCCAAGCAGAAGCATTGGGCACTCGGGTGCCTTTATTCAGTATCCCATAGCTAGGTATGTGCTTCCATCACCCCCTGGCTCCATTCCTGCTCTTCACCCCTGGGCCCATTCCTACGATCAGTGCATCTCTAGGGCTGAATTGTGCTTCCAACAGAAGAATTTGGGAGAAAAAATTCTCAAGTGGACTTTGAGTTTGCTCCCTGACCTGCCCCTTCTCTTAGGAGTACAGGATCTGGGCCGGAGGTACGAGCCAGTGCTCCAATGGAGCGGAGGGGCGGGAGGAATGTGAGCGTAAGGTCCTGCCTTACCAATCTACAAAACTCAGGAGACCACCAATTTGGTGTCCAACACCTGTGTGCCTGACAGGGAACTGGGGAGGTTTCTCTGGGGAGAAAGTGACCCACAAGAAATGGCAGAAGAGCCACAGATGAGAAAGGATATTGTAATCTCATCTAGCCTGGGGTCTCAGTGCTGGAGACTTCAGAGTGAAGCATGTTAATAGATACTAAAACTGCTACAATTCTTTTATATATTTTTATACATATTCTTTTATATATGTTAACCAAAATCCTTTTTGGGGTATAAACCAAAGTGTTTTGTATCTACAAATCTAGTACTCTGTACTTATCAAACTGAAAAGTTCTTTGTACTTAGGTTGAACCTTAGTGGGGGACCAAAGGAATGAATGTATGTAATCAATAATGGAATGTGTATAATCCTTTACTCTGACCCTGTTGACCTGTAAAGAATTGCATCCCCATGTCCAGAGAGGGACCACTGGTGATTGACAAGGGATGTCTGTTATCACACACGTGTTCTGTAATTGATAAAATAATGAACCACTGGTTGATGTTTAGGTCAATAAGAACCACTTATTGTCACAAGTGGTTTTGGTAATAATGGATGGGTCACAGATGTCTTTAGCTTATTAATGAGGTAAATTGAGGCATCTAAGATAGAACTCGCAGTTAAATCAGTCATGGGAACGGAATTTCTTTGTCCCAAGCTATGTATAAGGAAAGAGTTTTGGGGAGTTAAGTCAGAAGTGGATTGGTAACATATGTATTCCTTTCTGTATTCTGTATCAGGCTGTATTAATCTTTGACTAATGATCTTTGATTGACTTGCAAATGAACCAGCTATCTGGCATCTTGTGTTATTAATATGATCATTATTAAATTTGAACACGCAAGAAGCATAAACTCTCCAGATTGTGCCTGACACTGCAAGATTATGTCATGGGTGAAATTATTATTTGACTCCAACTGGTGTTCTGAAGCATGTGGGTCAAGACGAGAGCTGGATGGAAAATGGATTTTCTGTCTTCCCCCAAAATTAAAGATTTTGAGTTTTTTCTTTGTCCCAAAAAGGAACGAAATTCCAAAATTTCTTGCAAAACAAAATTAAAAAAAAAAAAAAAGTTTTGGGTCAATTGATACATTTTGTTTCAATTTCAGCCCTTTTTAAAATGTATTCTTATTTTTTAAAATAAAGTAAACTTCAAAACAAAGTCATTTCAAAATGAAAAAATCCAAAACTTTTTGTTCCAAAAATGTCAAATTGCGGATTTTTTCCCCATTTTTTCCCCAAAATGGAATTTATTGAAAATTGATATTAAATTGAGAGACAAAATAATGTAGGCTTTGTCTAAACATCTATTTGTCCTCTTTAATGTCCCACAATAGTCCATGTGGTGTTGATGGACCTTTGCCGTTGGGCAGGACGTAACATCTTCTGTTGCAGATTAGCACTTTACACTAGTTAACGTTTCTCTCCTGTCTGGTGATTTACATTGTCACAGAGACTTACAATACAACTGCTCAAATATTACCTTACAATATGGCATACAGAGATTAGCGCATGCAGCAGCTTACAAGCATTTAATAAAGTCTGACCACGAAACACATCCTTGTAGGTCTAATACCTACTTGAACAATAGTAACACACGGCACCGCCACCAGCAGCAGCACAGAAGTAAGGGTGCCATGGTACCCCCGTCCCTCCAGCTCCCCCTCCCCCTAGCAGTGTCCTCCATTTGGGAACTTGAAATATGGTAACCCTAGCTGCAGTGATTTACATCGCTTGTGTGTGCCTACACGTAGCCCCTGGCGTCAGCGCTGCGCAGCATCACCAGGAGCACTTGTATCGATTATACTGTCAGTGTGGGGCACAGTGGGAAGGCTCCTGAAAGCCAGTAACAGGCGCCATAAGCAACGCGGTGTCTACGCTGACACTGCGTCCATCTAACTACATCGACCTTGACTCTATGCCGCTTGTGGAGATGGAGTTAAGTCAGCGTAGCTGGCCAGTTACGTCGGTGGGAGTGAAAGTTAAGTGTAGACACTTCCGTAGTTAGATCAATGCAAGGTGGTTTAGGTTGGCCTAACTCTGTAGTGTAGACCAGGCCTCACGCTGGGGCAACAAGCTTAGCTATAAGCTTTCTGCTTTTCCTCCTGGCTTAAGTAACTGTCAGCGATCAGGCTGTAGGCTGAGGCAGCTGAACTGTCTGTCAGGCAGTCGCTGCCTTTGCAGCGGTGTGGTAGGCCCACCGGGGACCCAACTCAGCGGAGTTTCCCAACGGAGGAGTGGGAAACTTCTCAAACCAGTCACTCAGTGAAGGGAGCTGGATGCTCCCTGCTTCTCTTCCCTTTCAACTGACACCCCAGAAGGAGTGACTGCCTCCTCTCGCTCTGGCACCTGGGATCAAAAACCAACCAGAGCTCCCCTTCTTTGGGACATCTGGGCAGCCGCTTTAGTTCCATCTCTCCGGCCTCCTTTCTGCTTAAGGAAGGGTTGCCTGGCAACCAGGCAGCAACGGCTTGTGGGACTCCAGGCCCAGGTAAGTTTCATCACAGCCTCACTTATGGTAAGGAGGATGTGGGGCGGGGGGGGGGAGGGGGAGGAGGGAGTTTACATTTAGTATTTTTCTTAAAGCCCACATGACTGCACGGAAATCTCAACTTTCATTTAAAAAAAAGGTGAGTGTCTAACCGTCTCAATTGCAGAGTAGATCACAAAACTAGGACTTGAGAACATCCTAAAGGCTCAAAAACAAAGAACCCCCAATGAATTATTTTTTTAAAAAACCCATGATTTTTAAGCCAATATTATGGCTTTTTGGAGCCTGAGTCCCGATGTTTGAACCACACCAGGGGGCTGCATGAACAGAGTTAGAGCTACACGTCAATCGTCCTCCATTCTGAGTAACAACAGCAGGTCAGAGAATGGTGGTGGGCTCACTTGCTTCCATTCGCACTGGAGGATAAGAGTCAGAGCCCGGTGCAGAGTTGTTCGGCAGTTTGTTAGACTCTGTGGTGAGAACACCTCTGCCTGCAGTAACTTTGCTAAGTAAAACCTGCAGGCTCTGTATGTAGCTTGTTGGCTTTTCACCTACATCCTGTTTGGTACCACGAAGACTTACAAATGATTCATCCAATCTTCAGCCTTTCCAAGAGCAGATCCCACTGCCCCAAGTATACCTGGGGATGGGCGTCTTTCCCTAAAGACCTGGCAATGTCAGAGGGGAAATTCTCTTCCCTTCTCATCATTGGCAATAGAGATGGTGCCCCCGCTCCAGCAAGTCCACTTCAAAACCAACATCTTCCTGTTATCTGTAGGAAGGGAATTGCCCTAAATGAGGAATGGCTCTTTCTGTAGGGTTAAATGGCCAAATGGGAGAGACATGACCTAAGGAAAGGAAATAGGCTACTTTGAGAAACCTGGCCTTTGCATTGTGCATCTCTCATCCAATCTTTCCCTGTGTCCCATTTTCCCGGGACAGTCTCCGATTTATGGTACAGTGTGTTGCCAGCCTGGCTAGCTGCAACTTGTTCCCATTGTTTGGCTTGTGAGACAGAAATGTAGGACTGGAAGGGAGCTCAAGGGATCATCAAGTCCAGTCCCCTGCATAGAGGCAGGACCAATTAAACCTAGACCATCCCTGACAGGTGTTTGTCCAGCCTCTTCTTAAAAACCTCCAACGATGGGGCTTCTGTAACCTCCTCTGGAAGCCTATTGCAGAGCCTAACTACCCTGATAGTTAGAAAGCTTTTCCTAATATCTAATCTAAATCTCCCTTCCTGCAGATTGAGCCCATTACTTCTTGTCCTACCTTCAGTGGACATCGAGAACAATTGATCCCCACCCTCTTTATAACAGCCCTTAACATATTTTAAGACTTTTCAGGTCCCCCACTCAATCTTCTTTTCACAACACTAAACAGACACAGGTTTTTTTATACCCTTTCCTCATAGGCCAGGACCAGGTTTTCTAAACCTTTCATCATTTTTGTTGCTCTCCTGGCCTGTCTCCAATTAGTCCACATCTTTCTTAGAGTGTAGCATCCAGAACTAGACACAGAATTCCAGCAGAGGCGCACCAGTGCTGAGCAGAGCAGGACAATTGCCTCCCATGTCTTACATATGACACTCCAGTTAATACACCCCAGTTAATATTTGCCTTTTTCACAACTGCATCACATTGTTGGCTTATATTCAATTTGTGATCCACTAAAACCTCCAGATTCTCTTCTGCAGTACTGCTGCCTAGCTAGTTATTCCCCACTTTGTATTTGTGCATTTGATTTTTCCTACCTAGGTACAGTACTTTGCACTTGTCTTTATTGAATTTCATCATAGTGATTTCAATCCAATTCTCCAATTTGTCAAGGTCCTTTTGAATTCGAATCCTGTCCTCCAAAGTGCTTGCAACCCTTCCCAGCTTGGTGTCATCCACAAATTTTATAAGCACACTCTTCACTCCATGAGTCAAGTCATTAATGCAAGAACTGAATAGTACCAAATCCAGGACAGTCCCCTGTGGGACCCCACTTGATATCTCCCCCAAGTTTGACAGCAAACCATTGATAGCTCCTCTTCGAGTATATTCTTTCAACCAGTATTGCACCAACCTTATAGTAATTTAATCTAGACCACATTTCCCTAGTTCACTTATGAGAATGTCATGTGAAACTGTGTAAAAAACCCTTACTAAAATCAAGATAGATTGTGTGTACTGCTTCCCCCTATTCACTAGGCCAGTAACCCTATCAAAGAAGGAAATTAGGTTGGTTTGGCATTATTTGTTTTTGACAAATACATGTTGCCTATTTCTTATACCCTATTATCCCCTAGGTGCTTACAAAGCGGTTTTTAATAATTTGTTTCAGTATCTGGTCTATAATTCCCCAGGTCCTGTTTGTTCCCATTTTTAAAGAGTGATACTATGTTTGTCCTTCTCCAATCATCTGGGACCTCACCCATTCTCCATGATTTCTCATCAAAGATCATTAATAGTGGTTCTGAGATTACTTCTGCTAGTTCCTTAAGTACCCAGTGATGAATTTCATGAGGCCCTGCTGACTTCAGTACGTCTAACTTGTCTAAATATTCTTTAATTGTTTCCTATTTTGGCTTGTGTTCCTTTCTCCTTGTTGTTAATATGAATTGTGTTAAGTATCAGGTCACAATTAATCTTTTCAGTGCAGACTGAAGCAAAATAATCATTAAACTCTTCAGACTCCTTGATGTCGTCCTTTATTAGTTCTCCTTCTTGGCTAAGTAGAGGACCTACACTTTCCTTCATCTTTCCCTTGCTCCTAATGTATTTATAGAAACTTTTCATATTGTCTTTTGTGTCTCTTGCATGGTGCAACTCATTGTAGGAGTTAAGAGGTTGATTTTCTGTGTGTGTATATAGGGAGTGGAGGAAAGGAAGCAATCTGAAGCTGGTGTGGGAATAAAACAATGCCCAGACCTGCATATGAGCTTTCTTAGGACTGTTTGGATTCTGAAAGGCCATAGTCAATTCACTTTACACAGGAGGGGAAGCTCGGCCATTATAGCCATTACAATTATTATTATTTATTTTACTGCACCCCAATGTGTGCTAGGCACCTCCTGGACCCTATGAACTGCTACCCTCTGAACTGCAGTGGTTACTGTTACAGATCTTGAGGGGACTATAGCCAGGACCCTGGCAGAAAGCTATCGGAAGTATCCTGCAATATTACCAGCATGGCTGGATTTAAGTGAGCTGCTCTGTCCTTTTCCAGGTGTGTGACTGTAGGAGCCTTGGTCATATGGATGGTGCCCTCTAACCCTACAAGCTCTCTCTTTTGTGCTGTGTCAGGGCTGGTACTAGAATCACTGCCATCCATCTAATCTGTAGAATTACTACGGTGCTTGTCTCAGGTATCTATGCTCCAACGTCCTGTCTCTCACCTGCATTCACTCTTCCACTGATATGTGGAAGGTGTCTGAGTCCTAAGCAACCCATTCACTGAACTGCAATATCCAGTTAGTCTTTATTCTGGGCAAACGACTTTGAAAGGCAGCAATCTCTCGGCTGTGAGAGTTGTAGGTACCTGTAGCCAACCTGGTTTGGTAATGACCAGAATCCCTTAGTGTGACAGCTGTCTGATGGCCTGTGTCAAATCTGAAAAGACAACACCAACATATTCCTGTGATTTGCTGGGAGGTCACACTGAAATAGCCAGAACTTCTGAGCGCAGAGATGTTAGACATATTAGACTTGCCGCTGGTTTGTCTTTACTCTTCCTGAAGTCTGGTTGGTCTTATGATCAGAGCTGCTCTATCCACCGCTAGGGTTGAGCCCTGGGGTTTCAGGAGGGGGAAAAAACCTGCCCTGGACTCTGGAAGAAGAAAAGTTGACCTGGATAGCTGCCAACCTGGAATGGACCCTGTGGGGCAGATTTTACTCTTTTACATCAATGTAACTGAGGGAAGATGCTGGCTTCACATCTCCTCCTTGAATATAAGTACTTCAGTCCCATGCCATGAACAATAGCCCCTTGCTCAAACAGTCCTTGGAGCTGTCTTGGAGAACACTTTTACAGGGCATTCATTCCAGGGTAGGCACAGGGCCCAAATCCTCAAAGGTATTTAGGCACTTAACTCCCATTTACTTTGGTGCCTAAATACTTTTGAAGATCTAGGACAGGGTTTTCAAAGCTAGCTCCATTAGGGCCCTGTTTCAGCCCCTCCCTAGCCTTGGCAGCAGCTCTCCATTTCAAAGTGTTTTACCTTTTGTGGATGATTCATTTGTGAAGTTCCTGGAGTGGGGGCATCACCTTGGTTCTCAGAGCTGTAGATGGGTGTGAATCATACATTTTAGAATATTTAGCAAAGGGTACTGCAAAGCCCAGAAAAACATACAGAGGTGGCAGGGAAATGCAATCCCCTCTGGGAAGTTATTGATCTTTTAGCGCTTGAGAAGAAAGAGCTCTTTCAATGCACTTGTATTGCCCTGTACACGTACATCGCAGTGCGTTCAGCTTCCTTCTCTGTCCCTGATGGGTTATAGCACAGAACTGCCATGCATAGTCCTGTATGGTCCATGGCCCTTTGCAGCATTCGTGATCTGCAGCACGTCCTTTCAAAGCCGGGTTCCTGACTCGGTCCCTCGAGCTGCCCAGTTCTCTGGAAAAGGCTGACAGGGAGGCCTCAGCCCATGAGGCTATAAAAAGCGCTCCATAGACAATCAGGGGAGGGCAGGCTTACAAACCCAAGTATGTTGCTCTCAGCTTTGGCCAAACATTTCTGATAACCACAGCCAGGCGAGGGCTATAATTTCCCTATTTTATATATAGAGGGAGATGGAGCTGTGCCTGAGGCAGAGACTATAAAAAGGACCTGCCCTGCACCAGCTCCCCTTACAGGCTGCTACCACAGGAGAGCTGAGGATTTCACCTTCCAGGACCATGGACACGTCTTACCCTCGTGAGGACTACCTGCCCATGACGTCTCGCAAGCAGGACCCTTCTCCCACTGTCATCACCATCGGACCCTCCGTAGTGCCCCGGGACCACCTGATCTGGTCCATCTTCAACACCATCTACATGAACCTCTGTTGCTGTGGCTTAGTGGCTCTTGCCTACTCCGTCAAGGTAAGACAGCCCGGCCCTACTCTGCCTCTTCTACACAGGCCCATAGAGGCTGGCTCCTTAGTGCAGAAATGGACCCTTTCGTGTCCATGTCTCCCAGTCACTTGGCGATTCCAGGATTTCCTAGGGGACTTGGCTAGGAAGCGTACATCTCAGTGCATCTAGTTTTACATGGAGCCTCCTTCCCAGGCGTCTCTAGTAAGAATGATACACTCCAGTTCTCTTGGGTTGACCTAGAGATGCTGGGATTTCCCAGGGACTCTGGTAGGAATTATAGACTTCACCCAGGTTACCTAGAGATTCTGGGATCTCTCTCTGTGCTCTGAGTTGTAATACACCCTAAAATCGGGAAGTGATGTGAAAAATCTAGGAGATGCTAGAAGAATGTTATGACCACCCTCCCTCTGGAAGGGGAGGGGTTGGCCCCAAGTCTTTCCGGTACTCAGTACCTGCTAAAAATCTCTTGCCGGTACTGTGTAAGGAGGGTACCGCCCTACTGGCACTACTGTGACCCAGTAGAAAGTTCTTATTAGCAGCTGGCTTCAGTTTGCCTCCGCCCTAAATCTCACCTTGTTAGCAATGTCCTAGCAGAGGACATTAGCCCAGTGCTGCCCACTAGCTGGAATTCTACTTTTAAAAAGGAAAAACACTGTGAAAAATACAACTATCCGTGACAGCTGCTCTGGCATTTCCAAGACAGACTGCCTGAGCCTCCTGATTCAGTGGCTGGGTCTGAAAGGGCAGTGATGGGGCAGGATAGCTGACTGCAGTGTCTGTGTAAAGAGCATCAGGAATGATGTGAGCATCCTGTGCTGGTGCAGCATCCTTAAGCACGTCTTCATGCTGTCTGAGGCTGATGTGTATCATCCAAGCTACTATCTCCAGCTAGATTCCTACACATCAATGAGGCTGCGAGCTGTGCTGGCAATCACACTTTCCTGTTATCCCATAATTAGTGCCACCAGTATTGGATGAGGTTCTGGGGACTGACTTCTCTACTCCAAAGGATGCCCGGGGACCATGATCCATGTGGAGGGACTCCTCCATATCCCACACCTTGCCGCTGGGAATCTGCTCTGTTCAGGAATGGGGGAGGGGTATATCCTAAACTGCTGGGAATGGATTTAATGAAGTTCAGCAAGAGGCACTTCCGAGAGAACTGGGGGAAAGAGAGGTTTAGAGTAACTGTTCTGTTCCCAGATCTCTCTGCTGAGGATCATTGATAGAGAGTCAGAGCCACTGCTCCTTCTTGGATTTGATTTGCTAACAGATGCCAATAGCAAAGGAACGCATGAGTGAATGTGTGATGGAGATAAAGCTGAGACACAAAGAGGCAGACAGTGGGCTGAGGTCAGAGGTGCTGTAAATCGCTTACTGATGCATAAGGGAGCTGAAAGTAGTAAGGAGCTGGAGGATGGTATAAATTAAAGTGGGATGGGAATGACTTTAATTCACACATTCTTGCAGTCCCCTGTGATGTTTCTAGCTACAGACCTCTTTCCTGGCTCCTCGCCATGTTGAGTTACACCAGCTGAGACTTAGTGGGCCAAATTCAGAGATGCCGTGTAACGGAGGGGTAAGCTACCAGTTGGTAAGTGGGTGTCAGTTATTTGCTTAGACTCACTGGATTAGGCTGACAGAGCAGTTGAGAGAGAATGGAGCAGGGAGAGAACACTCAGCTCCAGAGCAAGGGGCAGATGGAAGTAAGGTGAGTGACAGACAGCCGCTGAGAGCTGCAGTGGGTGGTTGCAGCCTGTTCTGATGCCTGTAGTTCGATTGTGTTGCTCTGAGGGCATCGCCTCGTCCTTTGCCTCCTCTGCCATGTCACTAACTCACTGTACCCTTCCTGGCTTGGCTGTTGCAGGCGCGGGATCAGAAGGTGGCTGGTGACATCGAGGCCGCTCGCCACTTCAGCTCCAAAGCCAGATGCTACAACATCCTGGCGATGGTGTGGAGCCTGCTGCTGCCGCTGCTGCTCATCGCCCTGGCGATCACAGGCGTGATCCACCTCTCCAAGCTTGCTCAGGAGTCCATGGACTTCTTCAACTACAAGTTCTTCGCTAATGACGATGATGGAAAGTGACCCAGGGGCCTCGCGGGCTCCTGGAAACACACGTGGGCCACTCCGGCAGCCTCCTAAAGACACTGCTAATCCAGTATAACCCAGCCAACCAAACCACTGCACATTGCAACCTCTGTTGTTGTAACCCAGAGCAACCAATGCCTCCCACCAACCAGAGCACCACTGAGGTAGTCATGTGCCCCGGAACTCATTCCACAGCTTGCCCTTTGATGTGGCCTGAGGTGTGAAAATAGTTCCTTTTACATCCTGGTAGATTGCATGGACTCATGCTCAAGCTAGCTGAGTCTGTGCACTGTGGTTCCTCTCCTCCTTTCCTTCTCCTTTGGTCTTTGCTTGTCCTGGGATCTTGGTCATGGGGTGTTAGAGACATGAGCTATCGACTTCCCTTGGAACCCTGTTCTTTTGTTACTGTGTCTAACGCTAACCTTGGTTGTTACTATTTAAGTGATTAAATAACTTCACAAATCATAAGTCTCTCTATGTGTGGCAGTTTCTAATGGCTAATGGAAATGTGGTATAGTTACTCAGTTACTCTCAGGTCCTGGTTTCAAACTTCCCAATCAGAAGGGCTAGAAACTGACTGTTCTTCTTAATGAAATCTCAGATTCTGTTGTGATCATGTGATTCCAAGGGCTCGAGGGGCTAAACATGGGCCTGTAGAACCTAGGCCTTAATCCAGGCCTGCCCCCTCCTTTGCACCCTGGGAGGCCCAAGTTGCAATGTACATGTCGGGACTAGATCTGGGAGGCTAGTGAATACAGGGGCATGCCCAAGGGGGGAAAGGGCTGGGTGTTTGAATCCGAATCCCAATCTCCTGTTAAGGGACCAAGCCCACTAGATGGGTTTGTGAGATATTACCTAATATGAACTGAGTTATGACTAGGGCTACGACTTTGTCACGGAAGTCACGGAATCCATGACTTCCAGAGACTTCTGTGACTTGAGCCCCAGTGCCTGGGAGCTGTAGGGTCCCTGCCACTCCTGGTGACTGGGAACCGTGTGGCCCGAGTTCCCAGTTGCCCCAGGCAGCGGGGGTGCTCTGCAGCTCCTGGCCCCACAGGCGGCTGGGGTGCCGTGCAGCTCCCAGCCCCGCAGCCAGCGGGGGTGCTCTGGAGCATGGAGGGCAGTGGCGGCGGCCGGCAGGGGAGCCCCAGAGCTCCATGCCAGAGGCACAGCAGGTGGCGGGGGTGCCCTGAGCTTGGCAACACTGGTGATGTGGAGACCCTGCAGCTCCGACCCAGGTACCCCTGGGTGGTGTGGGGAACCTGCGGCTCCCCATTTTGTCATGCATATTTTTAGTAAACATCACGGACAGGTCATGGCTTCCATGAATTTTTCTTTATTGCCCGTGACCTGTCCGTGACGTTTACTAAAAATATGCATGGCAAAATCTTAAGCCTTAGTTCTGACTTAAAATTCATTATACTGAAGATTTCCATATAGGGATGGATGCTCTGGTTCTGATCAACGAAGAACCAACCTGAACCGTCACCCAAAACATTTTTCAGGTTTGAAAATATCTCAACCCCTTCCTTTGTGATTTTTTTTTTTCCATTTTTGCCGTGCCTTGATTCCATTCAGGAGCAAAGATGGGAAATCCAAATGATCACAAGGAAGGCTGTTTGGCTGGGTTTCTGGCATGAGTGGAAGCATAAAGTAATGGAAATCTGACAGTGCACTTTTGGAGAATTGGGGCGAGGTTCAGAGAATCATAGAAATGGAAGGCCGAAGAGGGAATCTAGTCCCTCTCCCCAAGCCGAGGCAAGATTAAGTGTCCAGAGGGCATGATGCTCATCTGCACAGCACCTCTGCCCCTTTTGAACTTTGCCCATCCTCGAGAGAGCCAGGGTGGGGATCTCAGGGAGCAATTTACTATTTCTCCATCTCCTGGCCTGTCAAATGTCATTAAATATTCCCTTGGGATCCTGAAGGAACTTTGATCTTTAGTCACACTCGCTCAGCTCCACCCCTCTGCCTTGCACACGGGGTACCCCAGATTTCTCACAGAATGGGCCTATTTTAGCTTAACAGAACAACAATGGATTTGCCCCACAGATGTGGGTAACTAGTTTGCAGGCTGCTTTTAATGCTCCTCTTGGTGTATTTGGCTTTTCAGCCCAGGGCAGCATGACTCTCTCAAAGCTGCAGAGACTCAGGAGAATTGTAGCATATTATTATCAGCCAAATATTGTAGCTTTTGACTTTGGAAGCCAATGGGTGTGCCTCTCCTGACAAACAAGCAATCTCATTGGCTGCCAGACTCAGAGAAGCAGAGTTCTGATTGGTTGGTACACAGATCCAACACCCAAAACATGCAAGGAACTCTGGTTATGGCCAATGCTGAAAATGTCCAGTCAGCCAGTCCCTTGCCTTTCACTGCAGCCTTGATTGGCTCATTAACTGGCTTCTCATTGGTTTGTTCACCATTGATCTTTGTCCAGAGTTTAGTTGTTCTGGTCAGGCAGCCAATTAATCTGGCTCTAGCCTAGCTGGGCTCCTGCTACCCCTGCCTCCTGTGGTCTCCTAGGGTGGAGACACTGTGATATTTCTGTAGATAACTTGGGCTGTTCTATTTTACTCCTCGGGCGGTCCCTGCAGCATTCCAAAGCTGGCAGGGATATCACTGAAAGGACATAGAATCATAGACGATTAGGGTTGGAAGAGACCTCAGGAGGTCATCTAGTCCAACCTCCTGCTCAAAGCAGGACCAACCCCAGCTAAATCATCCCAGCCGGGGCTTGCACTGTATGTGTTCAGATGCCCCAGTGAGCTCAGGCCATCCCGAGGATTGGCAGAGAACTCTGATGTCCATGGTCAGCTCAAGCCATGGTGGGAATTTTGATGCCCACTGTTGCTGAAGGGACATCCTAATAGTGACTCCCCCGAATCCACCTCTCTTCTCTCTGACCTGGCACTCGTCTGGTTTTTGGCATTCTTGGGAATCACCAGATTCTGGGTGGTGGGGTACAGCTTGGAGGTGTCCAAGGGACAAACAAGGCAAGGTAAGAATAAGCCTCAAGCGTCACAACCCCCCTGAGCAGAAAGGAAAGGTAAATTCCCTTGCAGTATTGGTTGTAGGGTCCAGCAGCGCGGGTTGCTCTCCACTGGATCTCCCTTCTACACCTACTAGTCTCGCCCATTAGCTGAGCCCCAGAGCCATACCAGGTGACTCTGTGGGGCACCACGTATGCGGTGCAGCCCTAGTCTGTTGGGTGATTCATTCAGAGGATGGGTGGGGTTTAGGCTTTGGGCCCCATGGCCAGTGTCGCTCCTGCTGCTGGAAAGGGGTGGAGCTGCACGATCTCCCCAGATCAGGACAAGCTGTCTGAGCCCTGTTTACACTCCAGCTTCTGTTGCTGCTGCCGCCAGTGGAGCTGCAGCCGGGGTGAATCCTGGTCTGATTTGGGGTAAGGACTGGGCTCATCTGGGGAGTGCTATTATTTATAATATTGGAGTATCCCAGTCATGGCCCAGGCCCCCTCTGTACAGCCCCAGACCAAAGGATGGTCCCGGCCCCAAGGAGTTTACAATCTAACTATACAAGAGACCACAGATGGATACAGACAGATGTGGGAGTCCAACAAAACAATGAGACACTACTGGTCAGTAGGGTAGGCCGTGGTTCTCTGCACACCAGCAGCCATTATGCAGCTGTGATGCACACCGAGCACTGCCTTACTCTGCGAGGGGCCCTATTGAGTCCTGCTCAGCGTGACGAAGGGCGGCAGGAGCTGGCCCGAAAGCCGCTGAGATTCCAAAGGGACCCTTGCCAGCAGCGCTCTCCCAGGGGAGCCTGCCACTCGCCATCCCAGGCCGGAGCCGTGCCGAGGCTGTCCGGACGGGAAGTGGCCCTGGGCTCTGGCAGGAGAGTGTTCCCAGGACCCTGGTGGGGTTAGCTGGCTGAGGGGATCTACACTCAGGCTCCCTGAGAAGATGGAGCTCCATCCTGTCTCGGCTGCCCTCCCGCAACGGGGCAGGGAGCTGGGAATCCATCGAGAGCAGGTTATTTTAATTCCTTCTCAAATACTTTCCTCCAGGATCTAAGCATGGACTGAAACCCCGAGGCCCTCAGGGCTGTTATCAGGGGGGCTGCCTCCTCCCACCCCGCCCTGGCCTAGCGGCCCAGTGCTGATTAGTGGCTGTGCAGCTCTGACAGGACCTGTTTTACAGTCAGCCTAATTACAAGGCAGGCGCTCTTCTTTTCTCCCTCCTTAAGCATTGCCACATGCTGCCGGTGGCACAGAGAGGCCCTGGGGCTTTTTATAAACTCCATCGAGGTTAGTTTGAGGCTTCTGGGTTTTGTTTACACAGGACGGCATCTTGCCAGACCCGGGAGTGGCTTTAAAATGCTCTGGTTTGAAACATTAAGAGTGGGAGATGGGGAGGAAGGGGAGAGAGAGAAAGAGATGGCCCTAGAGCAGGGGTCCCCAACGCAGTGCTGAAATGCCCCCGCCGAGCGCGGCCGCCAGAGAACCGCCCGCCAAATTGCCGCCGAGAAGCGTTGCCGGTTCTCGGCAGCATTTCGGCGGCAGCGTTTCGGCGGTGGGGTGTGCGGGGAATATTCCCACAAGAACGGTGGGGGACCACTGGCCTTGAGCCTGCACGCAAAAGAGGAAGAAGTAACAACAAATGCGGCTGGCAATTGCATGCAGTGACACAGCTGGAAGGGGACCTGGTGCTTTAGGGTGAATGTGCACTGGGCAGGGATCCAGGAGATATAGGATCTTTCTCAAGCTGCAGGTTCTGTCTGCTTCCCCTCCTAGCCCGTTGCACTGCTGAAGACAATGGGGCATTCTCAGCTTAGCCGCACACAGTATCTGCAGCACACAGGGTTTTTAATGGGGTTGCTCTGGATTCAGAGCAAAATTTGTCTTAGTCTCTGGAGCAGGGCTGGCAACATGAAGGTTCAGGGGAGGATGAGGGAAGGGTGAACGTTTAACATGGCTCAGATTAATCCACAGTACAGGGGGTCTGATTCCTCATTGCCCTGCACCTTACGTAGTCATTTACACCCATACACAGTGGGTGTAAACCGGTCTGGTTTGCCCTGATAAGTGGCCACAAAAGGCTCTGGGTGAGGGTGGATCTTCTCCAAGGCACAGGGCACTGGTGATTCTAGCTCAGGTCCCCCAAAAATTGCTCTGCAGGGCAAGGAGAGGGGGTGTTGCTTTGGTGCTGGAAAACAAAATCAGAGAGCATGCTGGGGGAAAATTCTGGGGGTCCCTTTGAAGCCTGGGACTCAGCTGATCAGGTCCATTTAATCAGGCATTAGTTGGTGCCGGCCAGGATAGAAGGAAGCAGGAGGGTCAGTACAGGCCAAAATCCTGTGGGCATCATACCTAGATACTACAGGATAGCAGCAGGACTCAGCAGTGTTGCTGAGTTTCCAGCTGTGACAATGCTCCCAGGGCGTTGTTAACCCTT